GGGAGGAGGTGGGTGGGCTGGGCCCCCTTCTTTCCCAGCTCCGGTTCCAGGAGTTTTCCCAGCCTTGGACTCCGAACTCCCCTTATGGAATGGTCGCCTCCCTGTCTGCCCCGCTTCTGGAAAAGTGGGAAAAAAGCGCAAAAAATAACCTCCCAGAAAAAAGCTGTGCTGTGCTTCCCTGATGGAGAGGCGCTGGAAAGCTGTCCCCGACCAGCCGAGTTCCTTGTGGCATCCCTAAAACCTCGATCTTGCTTCTGTCTGATCTTTTTTTGCATTAAAGATTCTCCCTCTGTCTCCCCATATCTTTTCTCTTAGTATTCTTTTTTTTTTTTTAAGCCTAGTTTAGAAGTAATAATTTAGAAATATGTTTAGAGGCACTTGGGTCGTATGCTTTATTTATTTATTATTTATTGATTGATTTATTATTTAGTTAATATGGTTTAAATATGTGTTTTATTGAAAGTCTTACTTTCAAGTGACTCTGACATATAAATACTCACAGAGGTGTCTTTTGGCTCCCTGAAAGTTAAGAGGGTGTTTTACACCTGGTGGTGGAATTCGGAACAGTTTCACAAATCCCAGCTTTGTATCTCTTTTGCTTTTCCTTCTGCTTATTGTTTCTTCTTCCTGCCTTTCCCGTGAGCTCAGCTCTCTCCACAGAGTTGTGATAAAACACTTATTTCCCCCGAGGTTTTGACACGAATTTCATGGGAAGCTTCATTTTAAATCTCGTGGAACCAGGGATAAACTAATTAGTGGGGGTTGTGTATGAAGATACCAGGTAATCAATGGTTCAGTGACACCATCACATCTACAGTGTGAGATTAATTACAGAAAAATCATAAAGCTCTCAATTTAAATAAGTCAAGGCCAGCTTGGACAGGTTCTGTCACTGGATTTTTGGAACTGTGGACCTACTTTTTTTCCTGGACTGGTGTCTGTCCAGTGCCCTTTTTATGTTGTACTACTAGTGATCATGCACAAAAAGCAGTGCAATGTTAAAAGGGCATTGGCCAGCAATACTGTCGACGTTATGTTCTCATTTTTGCTACAGTCACACGTCCAAAGTCACCGTCTGAGACCAGGAGGTGATTTGCAAAACAGCTGTAAAATAGTTTTGAGTTTTCTGAGGAGCAAAGAACACTGTCCAGCATTCCTGGTTCTTCTCCACTCCATTCCCAGGTTTCTTTGCATTTTGTTGTTGAGGATCTCAGCACCTTCAAACCCTGAGAGTTCTCAAACTTTCAATATGAATTAAAAAAAAAAGCACTTTCATTTAGATTTATGAAATACACCCCCACAGTGATGGTGCTCTCGCACCCAGGTGGCAACCCCAGGGATAATGTACATCCACAGAGTTGAGAAATAAGTGTTTAAGTACATTTTAAAGTGATTCAATACCTGCAGATTATAAAGAATAAACTGATATCTAGAAAATATTCCCTGTAATGCAGTTTTAAGAACATCTGTCTGACAGCAGTTCCGAACCTTCGCTTGCTATGAGGCAAACCTAAGAAATAAATACATTTGGAACTGTAGTTTCCAGTTAAAAAAGCACCAGAATTGTTTGAAATCGAATTTTCTGCTGAGCATTTTGTTGGGTGGTTTGGGATTTTTCCCCCCCCTTTTGGTCAGTGGAACGACAGGGATTATGAATAATAACAATTTCTTCAAATACGTGAGCTCTTGTGTGTGTGATGAACTTGAATATTACCCAGTTCTTCGTGATCCACAGCAACCACTGTGTGAGCTGAAGTGTTTTATTGCCTTTTCTGAGTGTGGTGTTGATCCCTGCCCGGAGTTGTTGCTGCTAACGAGTGCTCTGACTTTATTGCACTACTGTTCTGTACAGCGAGCAGTGCAATAGTATTGTCAAAGCATCTGAGAGCAGAGCACCTTCAGCCCTCCAAGCTTGTGAGTAAATTACAAATTTCCACTTCAAAACCTGCATTTTCTTTGGGAGTGTTGTCAAATAAACTGCTTCTGACCCAGGTGGGAGTTTTGCAGGTGTGGGTGTTTCCGGAAATAACAGCGAGAAATAAATATTTATGAAATAAAATATGAGATATTGAACTGTGTTAAGCTTTTCATTGAGCACAGATCTTAAAATTCCAGCCAGGTGATGGATAAGCTTTGAGCTTCACACTCAGTTTTTTCATGTCCTGGATCACAGTAGTAGCGTGGTGTTAAGTGGATTCCTGTCCTTGTGAAAGTCTCAAATTATCAATTTGAATGTGTCATGGATAATTCTGAAAGCTGCCTGTACCCATTGTCTGCCTACCCAAAAATAAATCAAATGGAGGAGTTGGAGAAAAGCAAAAAAATATTATTTTTTGGGGTGCCTGCCTGTGGAAATGAAAGCCTAAAAATGAAGGAGAAGAGAAATTATTGGGCAGTTAAGGAAAAAATCCCTCCTGAACTCTTTAAACATGTGTAGTGTAATGAAATGTATTTTATTCCTGGATTTTATCGTGGCTGGTTTCTGGGGCAGGTGTGGGAAGAAGTTTTGGTGGGCAGATGGTGAGTTATGGCTGTGCTGGCTGAAAGCTTTTCCCTTTGATTTATAGATGCTCAAGCTCTTCACCAGATTTATTTTCCTTTCCTTAAGCTATTATTTGAGAATTTACTGAGGGTGTGTGAAACATCACCCATCTCCACTCCCTCAGAAAAGGGGTTTTATTGCAGAGTATCCTGGATCAAACCCTATTCCTTGAGGCTGTCTGAAATTCCAGACCCTCAAAGGCATTCGTGGCCACTCCTTAAAGAAGTTGGGATGGTCACTGGGGGGTTAATCCCAACAGAAATAGTGAAAACCAAATTAAGGAAGTTACAACCATTTTTAACTTGCTTTCATCACTGTCTCTTCTGTGACTGTAAAAATCACGGAATTATTGTGTACAAAAATTAATGAGTGGCCTGTGAACTAGGAAAACTGCCTTTCTTTAAAGTGGAAGTCTTTAATAGATATTGAAATCACAGGCTAAAATTAATTAAGCAGTAATGCTATCAGCAGACTGGTTTACAAGGCAATTAGATAATTCTCTGGTGGCTTATTTATCCCAAGGAGAGAAAAGTGATGTCATCAATTTTATTAGCTGTTAGTCAGTCTGGTTTATTGGGGAATAATAGAATATATTGTGGGCATTAAAACCAGCTGAAAGAACACATCCCTGATGTAATGAATAACAGAACCTCTGGTGATACTTTTGGATCCTGAACACTTGCTCGTAATCTCTGCTGGGTTGTGGTTTTGCTATAACAGGACTTTGAAAATATTAAGTTTGAAAACCGTTTTCTGCTTTCCTGAAACACACAAAGGGCAAATGGTTGGGGCTTGTCTGCAGTTTTTGTTTTCTAATACACTGTGCCTGACCTTAAATATTTTAGTTCCAGAAGGCGGAAGCTGATCTGGATTGGATTCAACACAGACTGGAGTATGAAATAATGAAAAGCTTTCCTGATGATACACCACCAGAGGTAGTGTTAATAATTAAAATTTTTTTGATTAAATGCATAGATTTTACTGCATTTTCTATGAAGATGGTAACAAATGGGACTGTTCTTTTATCTGGTTGTTAGGGTTTTATTATTGTTATTATTATAAAGTATTTCCTGCATCATTTATCAAGATAACTGGCCTAGAATGAATTCAAACAAAACCCCCTTGGTTTCTTGGTACAGGAAAATTCTCCCATGTTCTGCTCTGAGAAATTAGTAGTGGTAACACCTAAATTCAAGAGACAGAGCAAAGGTGTGTTTTAGCTCTCAGATCCAACTTAAACTTGCTCATAAGCAATTATTAAATTAATATTTGGGGGAGAGATGAGAGGAAGAGGACAACAATAAATGACATCACGTAAAGGATTCTATAAATAAGTCCTTGTCTCTGAGTATATTGTAACATACAGCAGAAAAATAATCTTTTTTGTTAGAAGTCCCCAATTTATTTTATCCCAGAAAAGCTATTAAAGGTCTCCAACACCATAAATTCTTCCTCCTGTGTTTGATGTGGAACCACAGAGTTGTGCTGGTTTATTGTTTATTATATCTATGAAAAAGGAAATGTAGAGCTGAAACACTCTCACAGCTACACTTTTCACTGTAAAGGCTCATTTCATGTTCTGTTTTGGTGCCTCCAATGCCTGCACTTTTAATTGGTATTTACCCAGATTAATTTTCTTTGCTCGTGTGGTGTAAATGTACTTTTACCTTCCCCACAGGAAAATCCACTTGCTATCCTGGAAGGACTCTCAGTGGCCAAAGCTCGTTACAAAGCACTTTGTACACGGATGGACAGAATTTCCAGGGTGCAGAAAGAAGCCATGAAGGGCATCCAAGGTTCTGTGGAGAACACAATGAAGATAGTTCAGGAATTACAGCAAAAAGCTGGTCTTGAGGTAGTCTTTTCCTTTTAATCCCTTTGTTTTCACTCCTGGAAATGAACAGGTACTTTGTAGCTTTTACTTACTGTGAGTGGTTGGAAGCTGTTGTACAGAGTGCAGGCTCTTGGAAGAAGATGAGAAGATGGTTTCCCAGAAGAAATTCCTGCAGGATTGGAGCTCTTTCTGTAAATCCCAGTCCCCAACAGTTAAGACAGCAGTGTTCAGACTGGGAGCTGAAGTAACACCTGAGTAGTGTCAATAATTTCACAGAAGTTTCAGAGAAATCAATGCCTTTGGGCACAGCTGACATCTTTTAGGAATGGAAAATGGAAGGTGAAAGCGATTTTAAGAGGCAAAAAAGCTTTTGAGTGGAAAATGTTCTTTTCACTGTCTGAAGTGAGTAAGTTAAAACCAACACATTGGAACATACACACTGGGATTGTAAGTTTTTCCTCAGTATGATAACACCCCTCTATCTATTAAAGAAACCAAGAACACATTTTCCTAAGTGGTCTTCAGACACTGCTTTGTTACATTTTGAGGGGGTTATGAAAGCATTAATTTTGTTCCTTTACAAATAAGGTGCTTTAGATCAATGTTCTAACAACACTGCCCTGAGATTGTGTTTTATCTGTCAGCGGCTCTAGATAAGGGACTGGTAAGTCTTTACAGACAAAATGTACTGTATCCTACTTAAAAGACAGTACTTATATGTCACAGAAAGGAAAATATATCATATCTCCCCGTGTTCCAAGGATAGGCTGCCAAGAATAATTCTGTATTTGGATTTTGTTAAAGTGGAAGACTCTCCTCTCTTGAGTTACATGTAGAATTTTAGATAAAGATTTTCTTCTACTTTGTACATTTCCTAAACCAGAGATGAATTAAACTGCTCTGGTGAAATGCAAGTCTTTAAGTAAAGTGCTTCTTTTTATTGAAGAATTTATCTTACTTGAATAATTTATAGTATTGTTGCTAAAGGAAGATTATGGTTGATTTTTTCAGGAATACTTTGCCTGTGAATTTGCTTTCAGTTGAAGGAAAGTAGGAGTCTACTATCAGTCTCTGTGAGAAAAGGGCTCCATAAACATTGAGTTCTTCTGTAAATATCATCCCCTCAGGAACCGAAGGATCAGAGTTCTCTGTGTTTGCTTTTTTTTTTTTGCCTAGAGCTTACCCCTGTCAGCAGAAGAACAGGCTGCAGCACAGCAGTTGGGCATCCAAACTGGGACAAAAATGGAATCATCAGTGGGAAAGGTAATTAGGGCACGGAGTGTCAGTATCCCAGAAACCAGGAATCCTGAGTGGAGCTCAGAAGGGCTGTTTTTGTGACTTAACACCTCTCAAATGAATGGCATTTAGCAGAAATGGGATGAAGTTTCTAACAAACCTTTTCATTTTTATTGTACACAGATTAAGTTTTTTAATTGTTCCGGTTTAATTGTCCAAAAATGAAAAATTAGCTTTGATGGATGACTTTGTTCCCCTTATTTTTTAATTGGGATGTGTTTATGTTTCTTTTCAGGGATGCAGTTGGTTGCTTTTGTTGATCCTCTTGTTCTATTAATGCATGAGATAAAAAACCTTTGGGTGGGAATAAGGAATGTAATTGATCCAAACCAATGTATCTCTACATGGAGAGAAATTTATTTTCCTGTAAAAAATAAATTTTGGGATATGAGTAACGATATGTTCTAACTGCAATGCAGTAGAACATAGATATAAACTAAGATTTGTTGAAAAGTCAGATGTTCTCCCGTAGCTCAAAGCACAAAATTCCAGTATAATTATCTGCAAATATTTGGTTTGGGTATCATATTAAAAACACAATAATAAAGAGGGTCAATAGAATGTATTTATCTGATTGATCTTGTCTTTTTGCTGTGCCTTCTCACTGCCCACTGTCACAGGACACCCCACTTTCTGTCCCTTTATTGCCAAGGTTGGTTTGCATGAAAGCTGTCCAGGATCCTGCAGCTTTACTCAGTGCATTTGTGTGCAAATCTCTGCTCCTTCCTTGAGAAATGCTCTCAATTCCTGCCTTTCCATCTGGAATTCTAAAGCACTTCCCACCCAGCTGCCACAATCCCACTGGAGCTGCATCCTGTGGCTACCGAGGCTCAGTCGGGATCAGCCCCTGTGTTGTCTTTGTGTTCTCAAGACGTTCCCTGAAAGGCAGAAAAAGTGGGAAGATGTTGCAAAGGCCCTGGGAATTTTGTATCAGTGCTGTATTTCTGGCTGAGGAGAGTTTGATAGAGCTGCTTTCAGCTTGTCACAGCTGTCAGCCTCCCAGGGCTGCCTGGGAAGAGGGAAACCATCTCTCCCTTTGCTGCCTGTGAAGTGCTTTCAGATCCACACTGGAATGCAAAGGAGGAAGCTGGAGAGGCTCATCTGACTTGCATATCAATCCTGCTGTATCCATTTTAAACTTAATTTTGCTTGAAACTGTGTTTGATCCGCTGTGCTGTTGACAGCTGCGAGATCCTTGGTTATCCAGTGGTAAAATGTAACCACTTGTGCAGGAATGAAAGTGTAAAAAAGAATTCCTAAGCCAAAGACTAACAAATCCTGACACTTATGCCGTGTTTATTCGTAGCCACGTTGTGCAGGATCTACGGTCCCTGGCTCAGCTGAAGGTAAGTGCTGAAAAAATAAACTTCCCACTGTTTTCTTCTCGTAAAGCCTGTAAATAAAGACAGTAAATTCACTGTTTTCACTCTCAAGCACCAGTAACTCCTGCTTTCATGTGAAGAATTCAGATTTTAGTGTAAGAACCTGACCTCTTAGCTACATTCTGTGTATAGTTCTGGCTGGGATTTTTTCTTGCTGTTGGTGGGACTGAAGTGCACACTGCTTTGTTTATGGTATGGAAGAAATGGTCTCACCATAGGAACAGCTCTTTTAAATCAATTTATCCCTACTTATGGAAAGGAATTCTCCTGTTTTGCTTTGGTTTGGTTTTTGAGACACAGCTAAATAGTCACTGACAGATCAGATTTGTCAATCCACGTCAGAGCTCAAATTAAATGATTTTTCACTGGGTCTGCAGATACAATGATAGTTTGGAGGGAGTATATTCCTTCCCTCCTTCCTCTTGCTGGACAATCTTCCTTTAGACCCATTTAGAGGGATTATTAAACAGTAATGGAAGCACTTTCTATCTTTGGCCCAGCTTCTGGAGAAACAAATATTTTCTATTTCTAGTTTTTCACCAAATATCTTCCATTTCTGATTTTTTAGCATCCCAATTCCAACCATTGACTGAGGAAATGCATCTGACTGTACCCAGGCACATCAGATCTGTCACATTAGCAGACTTGAACTCTTTGTACAGGGAGTTATTTAACCACTCTGTAGTGAATAAGAACAAGTAAGACTTAAAGCCACTCATTAGCAAGAATTTTATAAGCTCTAAAGAAATTCAGCCTATTTTAAATCAAACAAACTCAAATAGTTGACCATTCACTCCCATATTATAACTTTATAATGTGATTTTACTCCCCTACACCCTTCCTGCTTAGGTACACACCCCAGTGTGTTAGACCATTATACAAAACCCCCCGAATTAATTTGTGTAAAAATGCTTTGATCATTTTCAAAGCTGCATTTTAGGTTCTTCAAGACTTTTTCACTTTGTTTTCGCTGTACAGATGTCCAAGACTGGATCTGTTCAGGGCAGTTTTGCTGACACACTCATACTGCCAGGCCCTTTTAGTGTTCAGAATCTGCAGCCAGACTGCAAAAGCAAAGCCCTGACACTAAACCATGACCCCCAAGCCCTGCCCTCCCCTCACCAGCCCCTCCTGCCTTTCCAAGCCCTGACCCCTCCCTGGAATGTGCTGTGGATTTCTTGCAGGCTGAGGTTACAAACAAACAAGTTTTTAACTCAGGAATTCTGTCTCTTTAACCCTAAGACTGGATAAGCAAATGACTGCTGAAGTAGCACAGAAAAGTTGATGGTATAATGAGGGTGAGATTTACAGAGCACTCACAAAAATCATTCATTATGTGCTTTTTAGCCTTTTTCTGCCCGTTTGATCCCTGTTTTGGTAAATAGTTTGGTTTTGTCTTACAGGACAGCACTGAGTATTTCACAGGTGGATGAGTACCAAACCCTCTCACTCAAGAATACAAGTCCTGGAAGAACTTGGTATTGTGAAAAGCAACAAAAAAGGGGGATATTGAATTAGTTGTGTAAGTGAAAGCTCAGCCTGTTCTCGTCTGAGACACAAAAGCACCTTGGTCACAGCTCCTGGATTATGAAGGAACAAGTACTTCCCTGGGATCTAAGAGCTGCTGAAAGTCCACTGTTGGAAAGTTGTAATGCTTCTGTGCACAAATTCTGTTTCTAGTACTTAAAACTGGAGAGTTAAAAACCACCGAGGTTGGCATTTTGCCTTGGATATTTATAGGCCTATGGCTGATGCATTTTTGAAGAGTGTTACGAGCCACGTGACATTTTCTTGCTCTCGTTCTTCAGCGGGTTTTTAACAAGTAACCCAAGCCTCTTAAGTGTACTTACATTCCTGAATAAATGATGAAAGCTAAGGAGATGCCGTGGATTTATTATACTTTTGTGTACGTGACTCCAGACCCTGTGCCTTGCCCTGACCCCCTGAACCTGGGCCCTGACCCGCTTAATTTTCCTTTGCTGTGAACTCCCTTGGGTTTTTTAGAGTCCAGGGAAACTGGAGGCTCCCGGAGTGGCCGAGATTGGAAGGGACCTCTGGAGACTGTCCAGTCCAACCCCCTGTCAGAGCAGGACCAGCTGCAGCAGCTCCCTCAGGGCAACATCCCGAAAAATTCCAAGGATGGAGAATTCACCACCTCTGTTAACACTGTTTGACCACCCTCACAGTGAAAAACATAAGGAGGATTTTTTTTCCCCGTGTGTTTAATATTTCTATATTTATTTCAACCTAATTAGAGGATAAGATATCCGAAGTTTTACCAAGTTCCTGTGGGGTTTTGGGAAAAATCATGTCTGTCAAAGGAGAGGAATTTAAATTAGTGCTCCTGGGGAGGGGAAGGCTGATTTCTGAACTCATTGATTTAGGGTTTGATGAGAAGAGGAACAGCCTGGATATTGAAGAAAAAAGGGGAGGAAAGAAGAGAGATAAGTTGCTTTTATGATGTCTGCTGCCAACTGTGCCCTTTTACCTACACGTAATTAACCAGTTTGACAAACTGATTTGATAGTTAAGCATTTAATCATATTCATCAGTTTTCAGTAGAGGGCTCGATCCCGTCACTTCTGCCAGCAGTGTTAAATATTTAATTTATTAGCGAACCGTGGCTACAATAATCGGAGATACCCGTCAGCGGGCAAACAGCTACAGCACGGGCGACAGCGGCTTCGCTTTCTAGAGGCGTTCGGGCTGTGGAAATCCATCCCTGCTCGTGAGCTGCGTAAATCAAAAAAACACGCGTCAAACTCTTACTTTGGACACTGAAGAGCCGCTGGTTCCCTCAGGGGCGGCCGCGCCTCCCGCTCTCCCCTCAGCGCGGCCCCGCCCCTCCCTGGGGCGGCCCCGCGCATGCGCACTGCGGGCGCGGGGCGGAGCGGCCGCGCTGCCGCGGTCACGGCCGGGCCGGGGCGCGGGGCCGGGGCGCTGCCTCCGCCCTCCCGCTCCTCAAACCCCCGCGGAGCCTCCGCTCCTCACCCCGAGCACGGAGAGAGAGAGGGCCGGGGACAGCCGTCCCCGCGCCCGCCGCCGGCGGGGCCGCAGCCATGGACGAGCAGAGCGTGGAGGTGAGCGGTGAGCGGGCGGCGCGCGCGTCCCCTCAGGGGTCCCCTCAGGGACTGCCCTCAGGGGCTCCTCGCGCCCTGCCCGGTTCACCCCTCGGCGGGGGCTCTGTCGCGGTGTGAGGGTGGGGGGATAAAAAAGGCCGCTCGGCAGCGGCTCGGGTGCGCAGGGAGGCAGCAGGTGGGGATGTGGGAGGAAGTGAGCTGCGGGAGCAGCGCGGGTGCCAGTTCCGGAGGTGGATGGAGGGACGGATGGAGGGATGGAGACCTGGCGCACACACAGCCCGCCTTGGCACCGGGCAGGGCTCTCTGTAACCCGGCAGCTCGCACACCTGCTGTGGGCTGAGAGCAGCCAGACCGGGGAAGGGTTTGAAAGACCATCTGTGACAACCTGCTGTGTGTTGCATTCCAATGGCTTGCAACTGTTAAAGAAGGCAATGTATGCGACCTGCTGTGATATCTGTAAATTGAATGTGTATCTTGCTTTTGTGCTGATTCATAATTTCAATACTGTGGGGAAAAATTTAACCCTCCTGAAGAACCTTTGAAAGTTCCATAGTTAAAACCATGACTCCTGTATAATGCAGAATGTAGAACTTCTTTATCAGTTAAAAATCTATCAATATGTAAAGCAAACACTGCTTTCAAAATACCTGTCTCGTTTGGGGAATGGAGAGAGGTGAGGTGGTTGTATTGTAGAACAGAATGGTTCTCTCTTCAAATGGGTGTAGCAAAAATAGGTTAGGTTACATTTTTATCACCCAAGATTGGTTAAATAGGGTGGGAGAGAGCTAATGGTAGACTATAAAAGAATGTAAATCTTATAAAAGTAAAAAAAAAAAGTGCCATTCAATTCAGTCCCTCTCATTAGCATTCTGTGTGTCACCTACATGCACTTGCCATGATTTTGAATTAGTTTGGTGCCTGTCCAGTGACACTGGTGGGTGCAGTGCCTGCAGGTGCAGCACAGCTTCTTCTGGCAACTGTTCAATCCCTGGTGAGCTCAAGCAGGAATGATATCCTGGCCCAAAAAAAAAGATGAGGCAAACACAGAAACTATTCCTTGAAGAAGGAGGATATGAAATGGTGCAGAGGAGGAGAGCCCTGGTGTCGAGGTGGTGCCTCGCTCGGGGATGTGCTGTTTTGGGGTGGAACTGAAGCGAAACCTGGCGCTCTGCCTGGAAAACAAAGGCAACTCTGATGTGTTTGAAAGCCTGTGGTTTAACAATGGTGATAATCCCCCTCTTTGCAGAGCATTGCCGAGGTGTTCCGATGTTTTATTTGTATGGAGAAGCTACGGGATGCTCGCCTGTGCCCCCACTGCTCCAAGCTGTGCTGCTTCAGCTGCATCCGGGTGAGTTCGCTTCTCACAGTTTATTTTTGCAAATGTATGAGCTGAAAACCGGCTGATCTTGTGAGAACATTCTTGTTCCTTTTCCTGGAGTTCCAAGGATTCCTTTTTCCTCCTCTGTGCTCCTCAGTTTCCCTTTCAAACACTTTTATAACACCCTGAGGAAAAACTAGGCGGGCTGTGCATTGCGTTCCGTGGTGCTAATTATAGGGACCATCTGGAATAAGTGCTGTTAAGGAAGAGACACACAATGATTCCTTCTTTAGCATCTCCTGAGAGTCTGTGGTGCCTGTGCAGAAGACAAAAGTTGGGACAGGAATCAGATGCTGACTTTGCATCTGGAAAGGTCATAACATCACCTCTTGTATCCTGGAGATGATTTATAATGTTCATCAGACCAGCGTGATGTGATCAGAAGGGGCTAAATCTTTCTCAGAGGAGTCTGGGGCACCACCAGAATCTCAGTTAATTTAAGGTGATGGTTACCAATGTATAACACCTCAGTTCCAAACCAGCTGCAGTTATATGTTGGTGTAGCAGGAGAAGGTTCAGCTGAGGTTTCCAGTATTTCCAGAAACTGGAACAGACATTCATCCTTTGCTTTGAAAGCTCTGACAAGAACTGTAGGTGAAGGATTCGTGCTGCATATTAAGAGTGTTGGGTGACATATTGTTGCTGGGTGGTGAGAGATTATTCATGAGAATCTTTAAATGTAGTAGTGAGCTGACAAATATAAGCCCATCAACTGCTGAGCTCTTACACTTGTGAGTTGTAGTGGGCAGGTGAAGTTCTTTGCTCAGCTGTTTGTCTCTGGAGCTTTCTGGAAGAGAAACATTCACAGGTCCTTGTGGATTTGATCACTGAACTGCAGGTATTTAACTGGCCTATAAATAGGAAGGAATAAGTTACCTTGAAGACTAATTAGACTCTGAAAAATAGGCTTGTTGTACCTTTTGGTTTCCTCTATTGAAACATGCTCTTTAGTCTGAGACTCCAGGAATCTGCCAAGTGGGTGGTTTCTAATGCAATATTTGGTACCTCAGAATTCTCTATGTAATTTTAACTGAAGCACCTTTGACATCTAAGAAAAGTGATTGCTTGTTACTAAGGTACAAATAGCAGTTTCTTCTGTGACTAAGTGGTTAAACAGTTAAATCTGCTAATAAAAGGAATAAATAGAGGAAGAGCATAATAAAAATAAGTAACTCCTAATTAATGATAGAATGTACTTGCCTGCAGTTCTTTTCTTACAGTCCCTTTAAAAAGGTTTTTCCTCTTTCCATCACAGCGTTGGCTGACTGAACAAAGAGCTCAGTGCCCTCATTGCAGGTAAGGTATTTTTAATATTAGAAACACATTATCAGGAATTGGCTGTACTGTCCTGTTAGGATTGATTTTATTTTTTTGTTCAGTACAGGTTGTATTAAATTTATTAACTTGATTACTTTTTTTTTTTTGGAGACCTGGCTGCTGGTACTATAAAAATTGGCCCAGGTATAACACTTACTGTAAAATACATTCTAGTTCTGTGACAGGCTAAGATCTTTATTCTTCTCATGTAACACTGCTGTTTTCAGTGCATGTAGTTTGTGTAGTAAGAGTAACTCAATGGAATTCCTCGTAGAACTCTTTATATTTTTCTTATAAGAGTCAGAGACCAGAAGAGACCAGAAGCTTCACTGTTCAGACTGAACTGTGTCCTTTTTTAATACTATAATTTGTATGATATCAGGCAGCTGCTCTGTATGGCCCTGTGGGGTGGTTCATTGGGCAAATTGACTTAAAAATTTCTTTTTTGTTTGGTTTTTTTTTCCCTGAAATAACTAGTACAACTTCTGCTTTTATTTTTTGCCTGTGACTCTTCTGGTAGTGTAGAACTTCAGAATTCACTTCAGTGCTTTTCCTTTATCTCCTGGAGCCACATTGTTGCTCCTGCTCTGCTGTGCTTCTTGCAGGGCCCCACTGCAGCTCCGGGAGCTCGTCAACTGTCGCTGGGCAGAGGAGGTCACCCAGCAGCTCGACACACTCCAGCTGTGCAATCTCAACAAGCATGAAGAGAATGAAAAGGACAAGTAAATGGAGCATTCTCTGCATAAAGTGTTCTGTGGTTTGCCTTACAGGAGTGGGATTTTAGTTATCAGGGAACAAACTGATAACTTGCTGAAAAGCTGAGTTGTGCTGTCGTTTCTGTCACGCTTTGGTGTCTTTGCCTAGAAAGTTGCTATTTCTGGTTCTGCTCAATGCATTTAAAATGAAAGATGTGGGAAACATGAAGGGCAGGAATCCTTCTAAAGGCTCTCAACCCTTGTCAGTGACCAGATATCTGAAATAAGTCTTATCTCAATGGCTTGTTCATTTGGCAGTAAGTCCCAGTAAGACTGTGCCTGCTGATTTGATATCTCAGCACGTAACAGCAGGGAAGCTGTTCTAACCCGTCTTCTAGTCCTGAAAATGTAATTGATAAACCCAGTTGGAGAGCAAAGAAAATACATAAAGTCCCCCTCAAAAGCACTATTATTGCTCTGTCATGGTGCTGGTGTTCATTCTCCTTCCTTGTCTTTGGAGCTTCCTGTATTTTCTGAGATACTGTTTTCCTAGGGGCAGCTGTCAGCACTTTCTCAACAGGCATTTCTTCTGATTTTATCCCATTCCTCAAGATATTACATATTTTAAGATTGTATTCTGGAGATTTGAAGGAGAAAAGTGTGAGAAGCAGCACTGGAAAATGGACAGGGACTAATTTTATGTTCTGTGCCTGCCTCCTTCCCAAGTGCCTGAATTCTGAGGGAGGGGGAAGGCAAAGGCATGTATTTGGGATCTGGTCTGTGCTTGGTTTATTGATTGATGTTGTTCCTGAAATTTTGAGAAATGACAAAGCTCAGCTTGTCCAAAAAAGCTTGTGAGCCATTTCTGTGGTTACTTTAGGTAGTGTATGCTTAGGATTTTAATAATGTATAGTATGAACTTCTAAAATTCTGAGCTTGATTCCATGCTAATATCCTTTATCTGCTGCGTAGAAATCCAATTTTAGTAATGTACTTTCTATGAAGTGCTTCGTGAGAGAATACTAAAAACCACGTTTATTTTACAGAGGGTTTTTACTGAATACAAGTGTTCTTGCAAAAGCTGTTTTGTGCTTTACTCTCAGTATTGTGTAGCAAAACAAGTGAAAATGTTAAATTGAGTTTGTAGAAAATTCACAGCTATTTTCTGTTGATGAGAAGTGTGTTTTTTTTTTGTTTAAGGTGTGAAAATCATCACGAGAAGCTCAGTGTTTTCTGCTGGACCTGCAAGAAGTGCATCTGCCACCAGTGTGCACTTTGGGGAGGAATGGTGAGAGGAGACTTGCTTATATACACACACTGAGAGGCTGCAAGCTTTGTGTTTGGCAGCAGCTTTGAAAAACTACAAATGCTGTGAAACTGTTGTTATGGCTGTTGGATTGCCGTGAAAATACTGCAGTTGCATGTGTATTTACAATTTAATAACATTGGCTGTGAAACCTGATACTTCCTGTTCATAATTAGAGAAGGAAATGGAATTTTTGCCAAAAGGAGCTCAGAATTACCTTACACAAATTCTGTGTGGTCATGAGAGTTTTATGGGCAAAGGAAGAAGTCTTGCTCAGAAAATACAGATAACACTTACATTATTTAATTGTCCTGGCCTGTAATCCTGAATATCTTCAAAGCTGTAGCACAGCTTTTTTTTCATCACAGTGTTTATCCATTCAGTTGCACATTTCAAGGAGAAGCAGCTGTTCCTGTTTGGAATACGAGCGGTTAACAGAGCTGCCTTTGTTTGGGAAGGATGTTTTAATAATAAAAATAAAACTTCAGTCGCTATTTGATTTGTTAGAGGGTTGCACAGTGAATGAAGCAGTTTATTTTTGGAGGACTGTTGAGACTCCAAATAACTCTTGACAGGAAGCTTTGATGGAATGAAAGCCAAATTCATGACTTCTTAAGAAGGGAAGTGAAAGACAGACTTCCTACATACAATCTGCTCTGGAACTTTTCCAGGATGAGTGATACACTCAGAGGCTTTCTTCCCCTCTCTTTCAGGAATTTAATAGGAGTGGAATAAAGTGAAAAAGAGATGCTTTATTATTCACCACCTCCTCCTCCTCCTCCCCCTTTTTTTCTCTTTGCACAGCACGGAGGACACACTTTTAAGCCCCTGGCAGAAATCTATGAGCAGCACGTCACCAAAGTGAATGAGGAAGTGGCAAAGCTCAGGAGGAGACTCATGGAGTTGATCAGTTTGGTGCAAGAAGTGGTAAGGAAGTTTGCCCATGGTATTCCCTTGGCAAAGGGCAGCTGAAAAGTGGGATGTGGAAGTAGTTAATGCACCATGTCGTGTTCGTGGGGTTTTCAGTACCTCTGAAAAGCTGTTCCATGAAAGTTGTGAGATTATCCCATAGAGAGATGTTTTTACTTATTATTTATACTCTTCTTACACAATGTGATAAGGTCAAAACCAGAACTGAGAATATTTTGTAGTTGCTAGAGTTAGGGAACAGGGAATTTTTCTTTTGGGGTGTACTGGTTAAAAGCTGGAGTTGCACAGTTCTTACACTTACAGAAGTGCAGTCTGCCATGCTAAACAGGTAGAAAAATGCTTTATTCTAACAGAGCTCAGTTTCCTTTCTTCAGAATAATAAACTGGAAGCCTATCTGAGCCTCCAGGATGAGCTGTAGAGCAGCTCTCCAGTTAGAGATTTGTTTGTGTACCTCCTTTCTCTTCCCTGTGGGGTAAATGTGTCAGACATCCAAATATTAGCATGTTCAGCTTTGACAGTTTCAGTGGGAATTCCACAAATTCAGTGCAGTTTCTTATATCCCAGGAAGGATTATTTTTTATATTCTGCTGAGTGCAGTTATATTTATAGTGGGTGGTCTTTGTGCAAATAAAATCAGGGTTTTTTTAACAAGTTTCTGTTTGATTTTTTGCCTGTGCTGTTCAGGTTGTTGTTGTGGTTGGTGAACTCTGCTCCAGCTCAGATGTGACTGTTATATCACCACTTGTGTTTGTAAAATATTGAAAGTTTGTGGCCTTCACCTGCCAGGGAGAAGGAGCTCTTTTTATCACGCTACTCTTGTTACCACAAAGAACTTTTCTGTGCTGCTCAAATTCCAGCAGAGAAACCGCTGGTTGCACTTTCAAATTTTGATATAAAGAACCTCCACATGACAAATCCCTGTGTGATGAGAAAATGTTGCTCAGCTTCCCTGTTAACCTTTGGGCACCCACCAGAGGGCACGCTGATGGATCCAGTGAAATCATGGCTGTCCCAGGAATATCCTGGAATGCAGCTCACTGAAAACCAGGTTCCTCTTGTTCTATTCCAAACATTCAGACTTCAGCAGGACTGGGATTTATTTACTTGTCTTCTCCATAGGGCTGGAGGGAGACTCAGGGATTTCTGGGATCTGAGAGAGCGGAGTCAATGTGTGAGTGAATGTTTTCCTGGATGTTTTTCCTGCTCCTGTTCCAGGAGAGGAATGTGGAGGCCGTGCGCAGCGCCAAGGACGAGCGAGTGCGGGAGATCCGGAACGCCGTGGAGATGATGATTGCCAGGCTGGACACTCAGCTCAAGAATAAACTTATAACTTTAATGGGTAGGGGTTTTTGGCCTTTTTTAGGAGTAGGAGAAATATGTTAACAATGTGTAAATCCATTGGGAAACTTTCTTTCCCGGGGAATCTGAGTCCTTACACACTTTATGGAGTTAAGTGTGTTAACTGCTGGCAGGAAACTTCCACCTCCAGCAAAGCCTTTGGTTAATTAAGTAGTTACTGTGATACAGTTCTAAGTTTTTAGACATAACCTGGTTATATTCTCTTACAAACTCCTCTATAATAACTTAGAGAACGTTCTCATCTGGTTGGAAGATGTTTTTAGTACCTTTCAACTAAAGTGGTTCCTTCACCATTATTTATGTTAGTCAGGGAGTCCATCTTTGTAATATATGCTCCTTTTAATTTAAAAAAAAATCAGAAGTGCAGTCAAACCTGCTTTTTTTTTGTCCAAAAAGCACCCCCAAAACAACAAACCTGCCTTTTCTGGGACACAGAATGTTTCATTATTACCTTAACCTCAAGTGAGTTCTTCACTACAGCTCTAATTAAAACCCTAGACTTGCTTTTCAAATGCTTTCTCAATCAACCTTGGTATATTTAGAAATCCTTTAAGTGTGTTCTGGGGCAGGTCCAAGTGGAAAAAAAAAAAAGAAAAAGAAGTGCAGTTTCTTAAAATCCAGTGAGTATGTGTTGTTTGTCTTTAAACATGTCTTTTCTTTAAACAGGTCAAAAGACATCACTTACTCAAGAAACTGAACTTCTGGAAACTCTGCTTCAAGAAGTAGAACATCAGGTGATTATGAGAAGAGATGGAATGTTGTGTTACACAGATCCCTTCTCAGCTGGCCTTTCTTATTTACTTTTTTATTTTTAAACTATTAATTGATGGGTGTTTCTCAAGGATACCTTTTCATTTAAGTGGCCTCAGTTTTCATAATCTCTTCTTAAAAACACGTTTGTCTTCCAGGAATAATCAAAGGTGTTCTGTTGCTTGGTAAACTAGTACAGGAATTAATAGCAATATCCTATAAAACTACACAGTTATATATAAGTTACTTTAACCTAAGTGAAGGACATAGTAGTTGTTGTAACTGTCATTGTAGAATTTCAGAAACAGACCAACCAAAACCTCCAAGCTCCATTTCACATCGTGTTGTGGGTAAACTTTCTGCAGCTGTGACACAAGTGCAATTTATTTGTTTAAAAGCAAAAACGGTCAAAACCTTTTTGTTTTCTACTGACCTAAGGATTTTTTTTCCTTCTTTTCCCCCCTGTAGTTACGATCCTGCAGTAAGAGCGAGCTGATATCCAAGAGCTCAGAGATCCTGATGATGTTCCAGCAGGTCCATAGGAAGCCCATGGCCTCCTTTGTCACCACTCCTGTCCCCCCAGACTTCACGAGGTCAGTGTTTGTAGCCTGAGCTTGGCAACCCTCTCATAAAGGTTTGTTTTGCTTGTTAAAATCATGTTTAAAAGTCTCTTACAGCAGAGTATTTGCTTAACTTACTCCTCCTGGTAACCTGTGCTGCAAGTAGGCTTTACTGTTCCAGCAGGGCTTATTTTGTCTGTAGTCCCTGCTGGGGACTCAGGACAGTGGGTTCCAGCTCTTTTTTTTTTCTCTTTTTACACTTAGTTTACTGATTTGTCCTTTTTTTTTTTCCCTCTTATTATTGGGTCACTCAGTGTATAATTGCAAGGCTCTCATGAGATGCCTCTGCAGGTCACCTTAATTCAGAATATCCAGCCAAAAGCACTTCATAGCACAGTTCTCCATGAGGAGAGAGCTGCTGGTGCTGGGTTCTATGGGAGCCTGTGCAGTTTAGGCTGCCTGAAAAATACTTTCAATTTTTTTGAGGTAAGAGAAGTCTCAATAATTAGAGAAATCAATTTGGCCTTGTCATGATTTAACTCTGAATGTTCATTTTTTAATGGCACCAAGGTGGTCTGAAACAAACTTTAAATGTTGTGCTTTCAGCCACCAACACTTTCATCCTTTCTAGAACTGCCAAGGAGTCTTACATTAAAAATTCACCACATCAGGAGATTATTAGCCAGCACAGGTAAAAGGGCAAATCCTCTTAAATACTTCTGGTTGCTATAAATATTAGTTTTATTGTTGTGTGCTATCACATGGAGAGGTACTGGAGAGAAGGCTTATGGATGGAATAATACCACAATAACCCAGTGGCTCTGCTGACCTAAATTATCTAAAATGCTTCTTCAGATTCCAAAAGTTGGGATTTTTAATGTCCTGTTATTCCACTGTCATCTATTTATTCCTTCCCCCGCAGTGAATTGGTTCCAGCCTATGACTCAACTACATTTGTCTTGGAAAACTTCAGGTAAGAATTTCTCTTAAATTACTGTGAATGTTGGGAACCTTCTTCCGTGTCTTCCCTCCTTGAACAGTGTTATTTAAAACACAGAATAGTCTCTACAGAAGATTGTTGGATCTTGGAATTCCATTAAAAAATCTCTTGTTTACCAGGTTGAACAATCAACCCCATCTAAACTGCTTGCTAGAAAGATTTCTCATGGTAAAAGAAAATTACTTATTTTTCTTTTTTAAAGAAAAACGGGACAATTTTAGGAGGAGTACATAGATTTGGATGGACACTTAGCTCATATGCTGCTCCATGCTCCTGCAGCAAGAGGGATGGTTCTGGAATGGAACAGTGGAGTTGTTTGTGCAGCTCAAGGTCCCAGGGAGGGTTCTGCTTTGTCCCAAAATCAGATGTTTCCTCCTTTCCCCACAGCACGTTGCGCCAGCGAGCGGATCCCGTGTACAGCCCACCCCTGCAAGTGTCGGGGCTCTGCTGGAGACTGAAGGTTTATCCGGTGAGTTCTATCTTCTGCTGGAGTTGTCACCCCATCCCAGATGCTTCTCCAGCATTCCCAGGCTTCTCCTGTCAGGAATCATTACTTCTCATGTTGTCCATAAAAAGCTGTAGGGGAAGAACATCAGAAGGTTGTAGAGCTGATCACCAACTCTGGAGAATTCTCTGCCTCCAGCTCTCCAGCATGAACATTTTCCCTACAGTTCACCTGGTTGATTTAAAAGCAATTAAAAATGGGGCTTACCAATATGGCAGAGAAATTTTAATAGCTATTTCTGCCCTTTATGTCTCAGTGTTTATTTGCAGATGTCTCTTACAGAAATGAGGTGTAGAAAAACTTACTCTGTGTTCATGGACATCACTTATTGGGGAAGGTGGGAGGAGGACAAGGTGTTAGTTGTTCACTGTGCATCCAGTTCTCAAGCTGGGCATTTAAAATGTGTGTAATGAACTAAAGTCCTTTCAGTGAGCTGAATATTCCAATTTCTGAAGCAGTAGCTTTGTCCATGTTGGAATGTTAACCCAACAGGGTGGGATGTTTTTATAGTCCTGGTCTGCAGAAATAGGTGTTTGGTGGTGGAGCACCAGTTGTGTCTGTCAGTGATTTCTGGGGCATCCTTAGAGAACTGGTTCCATTTTTTTACACCCACATATGCCCAGAACTGTGTTCTTGCAGTGCAGAGACAGAAAGGTGTGTAGTTTATCAGTGAATTCAGGATTGGTTACATGAGGTGTGCTGTCAGAAGGCATTAAAATCTATTTTTTCAATGGTAAGTTGAAATGTTCCTTCAACCTGGAGGATTCAAGTTGAGCCATTCTTCGTCCTTAATCCAGGTGAGTGTGATGGAGGTTTTGCTGTACTTCTTCTTGATTTCTGGTGACTCTAATATTGTTTCTCAGTTAACTGATCTAACTTTTTCATGTTGCATGGGGTTTTTTTCCTGAAGAAATGGCTCTTTTCTCAAAAATTAAGTAGCTGTGAAATGTGGCTGTGTGTAAAATATCTCAGAACTAATGCTTGACCTGAAATAATGTTTTTCTGATACATTGACAAGTGTTTGTCTATTCAGACTTCCACTAAATCAAAACCCTAAAGGGTTAATAGAATAATAAAACTTTTGCCTTGAGATCTGTATCTGAGATACCAATACTACACTGTGGATGTGCTTCCAGTTGCAAATTCCTTGATTCATATTAGAGTAGGAGGTCACTGAAGACTAAAAATCACAAGTGTAACATCCAGAGTAGATTCCTCCTGCAAATTCAGTGTTGTTTGAAAGCTGTTTTCTAAACTTTTCTAAACCTTCTATACCAAGGTGTCTTGTGTTTTTTCTGATTTTTTTCCCTATTTTAATTAATTGCTCAATTTTATTTGAAGGATGGAAATGGAGTAGTAAGGGGCTACTACCTGTCTGTGTTCTTGGAGCTGTCTGCTGGATTGCCAGAGACATCCAAGTAAGTAAACCTGTAGTAAGAACAGACATTGGGTATTTTTCCTATTGGTGTTTGCTGAGAATGGCCTCAAGGTCTGTGGTGTTGCCAGGGACTGATGCAGAGCCCTCTTGGAAAGAGTGATGGTACTTCTGTTGTTCACTGAGCTTTGAATTGCTCCCAGAGATAACTTAAAGTTGTTACTCAGTGGCTTTCTCAAGACAGAAAGCAAGTTGGCAAAACAACTGCTATGAGTATCTGTCTCAGTGCTCAGTCCCAGAGTTCACTCTGCTCCCTTTTGCTCCTTTCTTCCCCCTTGCACTGTTTCAGTGTTCAGTGACATTTTAAGACTGTTCACCTGGGCAGAGAAGCCTCTTGGGAAGTGCAAGTGTTAAACCTGACCCATTCAGCAGCCCTGACTCCTTTCTTTTGGCCCTGACCCCCGTGCAGGTACGAGTACCGTGTGGAGATGGTTCACCAGTCCACCAACGACCCCACCAAGAACATCATCCGCGAGTTCGCCTCCGACTTTGAAGTCGGAGAATGTTGGGGCTACAACAGGTTCTTCCGCCTGGACCTGCTGGCCAACGAGGGCTACCTGAACAGGCAGAATGACACCGTGATCCTCAGGTGAGGGGACAGCTCTGGGGGGCTCAGAGTGTCACCTCTGCTGCTGAAACAGGAGAGAATTTGGGAGCGGAATTTAAAATGTGTTTTGTCATAAATGGATTTCACTGTCGGCGGCTTCAGAGAAGGAAGTTGCCAAAGGGAGTTGTGGAAATTTGAAGTGTCTCTTACTTTGAGGAGTAGCTACTCCTGACTTTAATAAGTCAAGGAAAGAACCTTCACCCTCTGACCTTTAATAAGGGTTAGAGATCTGTAGCTCATGGAATTGAAGGAAAAGGGTGCTTTCTGCCACTCTTTAGAAACAGCTGTAGAGAGCATAGGAGAACTCTGGGAATAAAGAGAGTCTGTAAGTTAAGAGAACTAATGCAGTCAGTGGGAACTGCTATATTAGGAGAAAATATAGGAGCTGCATCCATCTGCTTCAGATATTGTCTGTAGTGTGTGAATTTTGTTAGTGTTGGTTTGTGAGGACCTTCCTCTCCTACAGAACTCTCCCTGCTGCCAGTCAGGATGTTCAGGACACTGAGCACAGAAGCACCTGATGTCTGTTAAGTTTTCTGTTAAGTTTATTTCATCACTAGATTTTAGGTTTTAAGATGTTCTTCTCCAGGGCGTTTTGGAGGAAGGAGGGGACACCAAAACACAGACC